ACACACACACACACACACACACACACACACACACACACACTGCTTTTTGTCTTGTACAAGCAGCTAGTGCAGAAAGCATGTGTTGTGCTGGGGGAACTCCTATCTAACCCATATATTCCTAGCAGGACTTGTACTTGGAGCAACTGGAAAACTGCAGAGAAAACACAGTCGCACACGCTAGTGTCGGTATTGCTGTCTTCACCTTTGGTTTCAATGTTGCTGAGTCAAATCACAGCTCTGAATCAGGGGAATTAATTATCTCTCTGTCTTTATCTTACCAATAACAGATCCTCATGTCCTAATCTCTCTTTCAACAGCTGCTGAGTTGTAAATAAATTCATGCTTTGTAATCTCCATTGGCAGAGATTTCTGTTTAGTCAATGATAAATCACAGTCCAATGAGCGCAGGTCAAGAAAGTTGATATCCCAAGTTCAATGTGGGATAAAAAAAACAATGGAGAGTAGAGAGGTGGACAGGTGGACAGGTATCGTTTTTTCTAGATGAATATTTGGACTCTTGAGTTTGGCTGTTTATTCTAAGTTAACCTATTGGGCAAAGAAAACAAAACCTTACTGAAGGGAATTCTGCCCATAGATGAAGCATCAGCCCCACCCATTCACACGATGAGACAGGCAAGCCTTGTTAGGCAAGAGCCTGCTTCCTGCAGATTCTTCTGGCCACAGCCCTTTTGTGCAGCTTGCCAAAACTGAATCATGAGCTCCCTCTGCTGAGTGTGTGCTGATAAACAGACTTTAAAACATTTGCATTCGTAGACGCGTAAGCAGTTATAAATCGTAATGTTTCTATAGAAAGTCTGTGACTCTGATGCAGAGTGAAACAAGATATAATGTACAAAATAGAGATGTACTAGCTGCACGTTTCTGGTTTCCTGATGAGATTTGCAAGCATGGCTGCTGGTAGGTGACACTTCACAAGGACAGAAGTGTCATCAGGAGGTGCTTGCAAATACCTCTTTCCACATCTTCCTAGCACTTATGGTAGCTAAAATCACAGTATTTATTATTTGCCTGGTGATCTCTTTCCCTATCGAACGTTGATTTAAGAGGAGGCCTCATCTGTATTCTTTGCCCAGGATGTTGCTCACAGCAGGTGCTCAGAAACAGTTACTTAATGAATGAAGCAGGTCAGAATTTATTCAGGGTGTCTTTTAGGATAATGGCTCACTTGAGAATGATAGAACACTGGTCACATAAAAACAAACACAGGTTTAGTAATAAATAATAGAAATGAGAAAAGCAAGGCTAGAAAGATAGCTCAGTGGTTGAAACACTTGCCTCACAGGCCTGAGGACCAGAGTTTGGATTCCCAGAAATATAAATGCTGAGTGGGTGTGATGGTTTGCCTGTCATCCCAGCTGTAGAAGGTGGAGACAGATGATACCCAGAGCAAGTTGCCTATCAGGGCTATCCACATCAGCAAGCTCTGAATTTGATTGAGAGACCCTGCCTCGATGAACAAGGAGGAAGACTGATGGAAGACATTTCTAAAAATCCGCCCTTTGCTTTTACATGAATGCATGTTTCACATATTTGCTGGCACAAATGCAAACATGTCCACATGCATGCGGGTGCACATGCATGTGAGTGAACACACACACACAAATGGAAGAAAAAAGTGTGAAGGAGTATATTGAGAAAGAAATGGAATTCAGGTTCAACTTTTAGATGGGAAAGGTTTAGAGTAAACCAAGGAAACAAGGGTTGTGCAAGGCATCACAGATGCAGTAGTCTAAACCAGGTCTTCTCCCTGCCGGGATGAAGTTATCAGATGGTGAAGGCAGATGTCATACAAACTACATGAAAATTTACAGCTAGGACCAGTGCAACACAAGAAAGACACATGCTGTTAGAGAGGAAGGTAACAAGGCAGTCGACCAAACTGCAACTTGGAAAGGCATATCTGAGATCAAAAGGTAGGTAGAAGGCATCTGGTGGAGAGAGTGGGACCTCACTTGCAAAACACCAAAGACAGAAAACAGTGCCTGGGCCTGGGGTGGGGATGGTGGGGGAGAGGCATCAGAGAGCCTCCTAGATCCAGGTGATGGATGTCTTGATAGCAGAGAGCAGTGAACTGCCTTGATAGTTTGGTTGCCTTTTGGGGATCAAGTATTTTTTGTGCTTGTGTTTCTCCTTTGTACTTATGAGATTGTTGATAAATATGTGGAATATTTATTAGTGAAAAAGGTAACATCAAAATCGACTCTGGCTATCTTTCTCTCACTTTCCCCCTCATTGCCAGGCTTGCAGAATATTAACAAAGCTGTCTCCCTTTCAGGGCTGACACTGGGTGCTGGCCTCAGCCTGACCCAGGTAAAGGATATCTTGGCTGATGTGGTCTCCAGGCTCCCTAAGGAGAGGACACAGATGTATCATGCTCTCCTGAAGCATCTGAGGACCCTGGCTGGGCAGCAGATCAGGAACATGGCTGTAGGTTCTCTTCACCTTATTCTGGGTGGGGAAAGATGGCATTAGTCACTATTTCTCTTTCAGCTGCAGCCACCTGTGTTTTCCACATGGCTGAATGAGAGGTTGCTTCCTTCAGACTCATGTGGAGTAAGCCACATAAACGGCCAGGTTAAATGAAGAGATGGTGTCTCCTGGTTCATTCCCCATGACTTGGATACTGTCTGCAATTTTCTGTTAAGGATTTGTCTATCCATTCCCGAAAGCCCCCAAAGAGGTTCTTGGACTTGTTACCTTATAAAGATGGGTTTGTTGAAAATAACTAACCTGGTCACAGATATGAGTGAGAGCCACACAGTTTGCTCAACATCTTCTATGGTTCTATACTGCCTCTGTAATATGAAGATTAACATATTAACTATAAGTACAATGGCCTCATGAATAACATCAACAGTAAGTAATGTATCATTGCTAGCCCTCCATCTCTCTATATGAACGATAGGGATAGTTCAGTGGTAGAGCATCCACCTTGCATGTGCAAGGTCCTGGGTTTGACACTCAGCATAACAATAAAAGAATTACTGGATTGTTTCTCCAGTCCAATCTAAATCTCTGCTGACTGTGGGTGTGTTAGTTAGGGTTTTATTGCTATGAAGAGACAGCATGACTACAGCAACTCTGATAAAGGAAAACATTAATTGGGGCTGGCCTATAGTGTCAGAGGCTTAGTCCATTATCATCATGGCAGAAAGGTTGCAAAGTGCAGTCAGACATAGTGTTGGAGTTCTACATCTGGAGCCACAGGCAACAGGAAGAGGCAGTGAGCCACGAGGCCTGGCTTGAGCTTCTGAGACCTCAAAGCTCACCCCAGTGACACATTTCCTCCAACAAGGACATGCCTACTCAAACATGGCCACACTTCTTAATACTGCCACTCCCTATAGGCCTATAGGGCCATTTTCATCCACACTAGAACAGTGGATTTGTGTTTTGGATATCTTTTGTGGATCTCGTAATATTCACATTCTGAGTTGCCTGTTTTGGGAAGCCTTAGTATCCTTATTGGTCTTCCCATCTGTGGTTCACCATCTGATGTTCATTTTTTACTGGTGGAACCCTCAGTTGTGGTTTTTCCTGGGAGGTAGATTGCTCAGAGCACAGGGGCCTGCCACAGGCCACATTTCCCGTGCCATATCTCACCAGAATCTCTCAGTATGCTTCCAGCCAGGACGGGTTCCATAAGGCTTGGCTGGAAGTAGACAAACCTTTTCCACCCTGAAGATGCCACTTGTCTCAAGATGTTAGCTGGTCTCTTCCTTCAAACACTCCAGGCCTCAACAACGTCATTACCCTAAACACGCCTGCCCCTTCTATGGCCCTCACACTCATAGCCCCACCCTCCTACCAAGAGTTATAAGCAATCTGGTGGCTTTGTTCAACCATTTCCTGTCTGCTGTCACTCAAGCTACACATGCATAACTGCAGAATATTGACCTCATCCATAAATCCCAACTTCAGCTCCTCCCTGATTGAGGTGGTTTTCACTGCCTTACTTTCTTTTTGTAAGTAATTAGAATAAAGTGATAAGTCATTGCTGTAAATATCTCAGAATTTTCAAGAGAACCTGGAACCATACTGGCATGTTCTAATCTAATTGATGAATTATCCGAAAAGAAATGCTATCCTGTCTAATTCAGCACTCACAGCAAAATCCCTGGGTTACTTACTAATATTTCTTTTAGTCCTTAGGTGGTCATATTATCAGCAGACTTCCGACCTCTGACCTCAACCCTATTTTGGGTGTAGGCAATTGCATGCTCAATGTTGCTTCAGCAGGTGAGTTACTGAGCTCCTTCTGGGTACAGAGGAGAGTTTCCCAGATACTGAGCATAGAGATGTGGGTGAAAGAAACTCATCATTCACACCATTCAACCTAGTACTGATGATTCATTTTGTTGTGGAAAGACCTAGAAGCACACACATCAGGAAGATAGCAAAATGGCATACTTTAAGAAATTGAGAATTGTCAATAAGTCCATTTCCACTGATTTATTCTCTGACTGTGTTAGGTATTATTAATTGTCAACCTGATGGGATGTATAGTCAATAAGAGACCACTCTTTAGGAACACTTGCAAGTTGGGCATGCCTGTGAATTAGGTTAGGTTAGGTTAATTGGGACAGAATGACCCACCCTAACTGTGGGCCACACACTTCCTTGGGCTTGGGTCCTGAACTGCAGAAGAAGGAGGAAACAGCTAAGCAGGGACGCACACTGTTGTCTGCTGACAGAGTATAGGTGCAATGTGATCAGCTATTTCAGCCCCCTTCCCCACACCTGTCACCTTGGCTTCCTGCCTCCCCACCTCGAGCCACATGATGGACTGGACCTTTGACCTATGAGCCAAAATAGCCCCTTTCTCTCCGAAGTTGCTTTTGTCACAGACACAGATCAAAAGTCAGAACACTGTCATTGGCTCATGTTATAGACACTGAATAGTGTATAGCAGAGTTTAGCCCTCATGGCTGTTTTGTCTACCTGGTGATGTGACTCACCTTGTCCTGTGCTTATATATTTAGGTTCCAAAGCAATCATTTACTTCCTCTAAATGCAAACATCACAAACTCACCACAGTACACTTTTGATCCCAGACATGGGCAGGATCATACATGCAGCCGTTCTCCAGCAGACTTGAACTGAAGTCAGCTTGATTCTGACTCTGACATCACTTTACCGTTGTTTTAGTTAGAGTTTCTGTGGCTGTTAAGAAAGACCATGAGCACAGCAACTCTTACAAAGCAAAACATTTCATTTAGGTGGCGGCTTATAGTTCAGAGGTTCAGTCCATTATCATGGGGAGTAGAGTATGAAAGCATGCAGGAAGACATGGTGCTGGCTACATCTTGATCAGAAGGCAACAGGAAGTAGACTCTCTGTCACACTGAATGAAGCTTGCACCAAAGAGACCTCAAAGCCCACCCCCACAGCAACACACTTCCTTCAACAAGGCCACACCTCCTAATAGGCCACTCCCTTTGTGGGCCATTTTCTTTCAAACCACCACAACAGTTTGCCCATTTACTGGTGAGCTCCAGGTGAAGACATCACAGGGCAATACTTATGGGAAAGGACACAGAGCTTCTAAGTCCTCTCCAAGGCGACCACTCTCCAGTCTCCTCTGCATGTTCCACCATGTGGACACAGTCTTTAGAACCTCCTAGTAGATATGAGGAACCCACTGGTGTTTGCTAAAGTATCATCCTATGATCACATGGCGGGTTCCCCTGGAACCAGCTCCCATCCTGAGGCCACTCAAATACCCACTAAGAGTCACTTCATTAATGAAAAAGATGCTTCCCTCATGCAGGAAATCCCCTGGAGTTTTGATATCAGATGTTCTTACCTCTCAGAAAATCTCACAGGCCTAAGAATTCTGTGTCAGCAAACAGACTCAAAAGGCAAAGGCTAAAACCAAACAGTCTCCTAGCTCTCCTGCCCAGAGCTCTAGAGCTCAGTGTCAGAGACCAGGGCAGAAGCAGGTACCGTGTGTGTGTGTGTGTGTGTGTGTGTGTGTGTGTGTGTGTGTGTGTGTTGGATCTAACTCATAACCTTGAGTATGCTAGGCAAACATTCTACCATGAGCTGGACCACAGTATACATGGGTCCTGTAACAGGAAATTTTATGGCAGAATCCACAGGAGAGGATCCATGATGATCACATGATACCCTTCATGATGTCAAGGGTTGCTAAGCAAGTCAGCACTGATGCTCACCTTGGTTCCAACAGGATAGGACTGGAAAGTAGTCCCCATGTGGTGAGACAAACAGCAAAAGAAAACTCTTCCTGGGCTACACATTACACAAGAAAAATCAGTCTATTTTCACTTAACTTTTGATCAAATACTGTATTTGTTAATTTGACCCAACACCCTTTCCATCAATCCTGCTCCAGAATGTCTGTTACCCCAGGGCACAGATCACATCCACCGTCAAAGGACAAAGATTCATCCTCACCCAGGATCAGAAAGAATACCAGCCTCTCCGCCCCCCAGAGTTCCCAAAATGTCACAAGGAAAAAAAAAAGTTTCACATTCCCCAGGTGGATTTATCTAGAAGTGTAATGTTTATTTCTGGGTCTTTGTTTTAGGATTTGGGTTTGAAATAATCACATGACTTTATGGTTGTTTCATGTGTTGAGGGACATGTCTGCCATCACCCATGCTTCACCTACTATTGTCACTGTTCTCATTAGTTATGTCTGCATCCTGACCATATCCCCTCAGACACTTACCATACCCCCTAATCCTCTCTTTCATGCATTCTCTGTCCACCCCACACACATCATCTGGCACTGTGTCCACATGTACACACGGATTCAGGTTGTTCTGCCCCTTAAGTCACACACTGTAAGCTGGGCAGAGTTTCCCACACACTGGATGACCCTGCCACTACAGCGAGAAGGCTCTTTCTCAAGTGAGAACCAGATCATGGGGTAACATGATGTTTCGGGTAGCTATTTTTCCACTTAATTTCCATCTTAGAACTTTTGTTTTGTTTTGGTTTTTGAGATAGAGTTTGTCTGTGTTACCGTTGCTGACCGGGAACTCACTCTGTAGAAGTCCAGGCTGGTCTTGAATTCACAGAGATCTGCCTGCCTCACCTCCTGAGTGTTGGCATTAAAGGCATGTGTCACCACTGCCCAGCTTGGAATTTGTTTTTAGATTAAGAATACCACTGGATATTACCAATAAAAGAGTCACAAAGTGATAAGCCTTTGATGAAATGTGTTTCCTTTAATAGAAGGAATATGGCAAATTCCTCTGGATGACCGATTTCTTGCCAGACTACCAGATGCAAGCCTGAAGCCAGACCAAGTGCTCATCTCTGTTTTTGTGCCCCTCTCTGGGAAGGTATGAGGTCACAAGGTTCACAATAGCCACTGGCATCTTTGGCTTTTACCCTGAAATAGCCTTGGTGTAGAGAAGCATAGAATTTGTAGCAAATTCCTTATGCATGCAGAGGTGCAGATAATTCCAGGTTAGACACAGCCAGCTCCTCAACAACATCTGGCAGCATCAGGACTTTGTACTATTCCTCAGCCAGCTCTCAGGCTCAGGACACTTGGATCCACAAAGCAGTTCAGTGTAGGTGAGGAGATTGCACTCTAAGGAGGCTTTATCATTTCAACCAAGATTTGTGGTGAAAGGCCGGTGGAAACATGACTGCAAGCTGCCACCAGCCTCAGAAGAGCTAAGTAGAATAATCATCTTAACGTCGTTTGGCCTTACTGTAGCAGGTTAATGTTTTCTTTAAATTAATGGTGATTACAGAAAAGCGCATGACGCGCCTGTGAGCTCTGGTTGTGGGGAGGGTAAGCTTAAGGGTAGGCGTATGTGATTGGTCACTGGTGAATATATGAATACAAGGGAAGGACATATATTTATTTATGGTTCCTCTCTTAAGACTGCTATAGATTTGAAACATTTCAAAGTAAACAGTCATTCTTCTCATTCTTCAGTGGGAGTTTGTGTCAGCTTTCAGACAGGCCCCACGTCAGCAAAACGCCCTTGCAACAGTGAACTCTGGGATGAGAGTCGTTTTCAAAGAGGACACAAGCACCATTACAGACTTCCGCATCTTATATGGAGGGTTGGGTGCCACCACAGTCAGTGCAAACAAAACCTGCCAGCAGCTGATCGGAAGGTGACTTACAAACGTTTGCTCTTGCCAAATAAGTCTTTTGTCCTTTGATTAGTGGCAACTGACATGATTGTCAAAGGGAAGGAACTGTGCCTTTTCTCTATGGAGTATAACATGTTGGAGTGAGCACAAGAAAAACAGCATACACAAAGACACTGGTGTATGATAGGATATTCCTGTGTGAGAAATAAATTTGAGCAACCTTTGTTTATATTTTAGGTTTACTTTGGCAAGTGTATCAGGCTTTTTCTTTGGGCCCGCCAACCAGCTCCCAAATCATGACACGGAGACTTTTTCTTAGTTTTGAATGCTCTGCCTAGCCTACGCACATTTCCGGCTACTCACTTTACTTAAATTAACCTGTTTTTCTTTATCTCTCTTTTGCCTCAGAGCTTTTTACCTTTCTTCTGAATATATTACTTTTACTGCATCTTCTGGCTGGTGTCTCCCTCATTCTCTCCTCTCTTCTTCTTCCTCTGATTCCTCCTCTCTCTCCAGCCTAGATTTCTCCTCCTATTTACTCCCTCTGCCAGCTAGCCCCATCTATCCTTTCTCTGCCTAGCTATTGGTCATTTAGCTCTTTAGACTAATCTGGTGCCTTAGGCAGGCAAGGTGAAACAGATGCAACACAATCTTTACACAATTAAACACATATTCTTACATCATTAAACAAAAGCAGCATAAACAAATGTAACACACCTTTACACAGTTAAAGTAATATTCTGCAGCATAAACACCTTAACACATCTTTGCCTAGTTAAAATAATATTCCACAACATAAATATTGGATACTTGTTTGACCCTGCCTATACTGAACTGGTTACATTCCTCTCCATGTGCCTAGGTGTTGGGATGAAGAGATGTTGACTGAAGCTTGCAGGATGGTTCTAGAAGAAATCTCCCTGCCAGTATCAGCCCCTGGAGGAATGGTGGAATACCGACGAACTCTTACCATCAGCTTTCTCTTCAAATTCTACTTAGATGTGTTGAAGCAGTTAAAGATGAGGGTAAAGTTGTGTTTGTCTTTAGGATGCACTGGGGAAGAGAGATTGTAGATGCTTCTCCAGCTTAAGGGAACACCGGGTGCTGACCTTACCATAGTTCTCCTTGCCAGCTACATTTCTGAGACTCATTCTGAATGAAACCTGAAGCTCTCCCTAAGTTCACTCAAACTTCCCCAAAGCAATAAAGACAAAAGCCAGAAGACTGTGCAGCAACAGACATTTAAAATCCTGTCTCTCAACTAAATCTCCACAGGAAGTACTTTCCATTAAAGAAACTATTCATCTTTGTTCTAGGATCCTTGTGGATACCCTGACATCTCCAAGAAACTCTTACATGTTCTGGAAGACTTTCCTTTGACTGTGCCACAGGGGATGCAGTCATTTAAGGTCAGTGCATTTTATGAGTGAACAGAACAGCCCAATGGGGCTGTGGCTGTCTTTTGACCTGGTTTTACTCTGAATTTCAAATTGCTCTGTGCTCTTTTAAGAAAGGTTCAGCTAGCAAAGTAATGATACATGCCTTTAATCCCAGCACTTGGGAGGCAGAGGCAGGTGGATCCCTGTGAGTTCAAGGCCAGCCTGGTCTACAAAGTGAGTTTCAGGACAGCTAGGGCTGCACAGAAAAACCCTATCTTTAAAAAAAAAAGAAAGGAAGGAAGGAGAAAAGAAAGAAAGAAAGAAAGAAAGAAAGAAAGAAAGAAAGAAAGAAAGGATTCAGCCATGGAATTATATTCATACTCAATAGTCCGTTAGAAAATGCAGTAGAATGGTAGATCCTACTGACGACAGCTAACAACTAAATCCCTAGAAATAAAACCAAGAAAAAATATGCAATGCTGGTGTAAAACAAACATTTAGACTACTGATAAACTTTTTCAATCAAAGCATAATTGAATAAAAAGTAACATAGTCCATAGGTAGGAAGACATCATATATAAAGATAACGATTTTCTCACAAGTAATGTATATATTAATTAAGTATAATTCCAATCAATGATGCTGACAAGAGTTTGGGAAATTTTGATTTTAAAGTTTATCTAGAAATATGGAAATAGGCATTCTTTAAAATCAGTAATGAGGAGTGGACCCAATCCTATCCAACCCTGAGACTGAACCCATAGCTCTACTAGATAAACATATAGCATTACACGATTAAACATCATAGCCATTAAAGGATTCAGAAATAGACCAAAAGATCAATAAAGCAGCACAGAGTCCAGAAAGAGAGCAGTAAGTGGGTCATCATTGAAAAGCAAAAATAAACCTCAAATAAACAATAAAATGGAGGGTTTAAGTAGAGATTTCTATGCGAGTCACTTTAAACACAAGAAACAAAGCCATATTCCTACCTTACAGTGAATGTAAAGTCCAAATTTATTAGTGTTTTAAACATTAGGTTAAAATGTGTGCAGACTCTTTTTAAGCCTGCAGCTGAGAAAGTCTTCCAAACAGGATTGAAACCCAGAAGTCATGGAGGAGAAGCCTGACAAATCCGACTGCATAAAAGAGAATGCATGAGTGATAAAAGATATTCACAACAAAGACTTTTACAAGTTAATAGACATAAAGAATTGGCAGATCACTGGGGAAAAATGAACTTTAAAACATTAAAATATACAGATCCTCACTCAGAATTTTTTAAAATGCATTTTAAGACAACTGTAAGATAAGTTTTCAGTGTATCAGACTGGAATAATTTAAAATTTTGATAGTGCCCAGGTCTCATTAGACTTGAAGTATTTTTCTACAAACACTGTCTCTCTTATAATAAAGTTACTGAAACAGAGCAGCCTATTTGTAAAGGTAGTGGGGGGCTCTCTGGGAGCCCAGAAGGGGGCAGCAGAGGTCTCCTGTGCTGTGTCCATTCATTTCATGCCCTAGTTTTAAGAGAGGCTCTTTCTAATGTGGTTTCTGGAGCAACTTAAGCACAAAGGGAGGCATGTATTAGTTCTTGTCATTCTCGGTGGCAGTGAATGCTTAGGTGGCTGCTGTCTGGATGTCACCTGGAGAGCCTTCTTGCCACAGTTCACATTACTTCTCTGAGGAGACATGAACGGACATCTGTTCACCCTGTGTAAGGAACCCCTGACAGGACAAAGGAATGAGCTCATCAAGTTTGGTGAAACCATGAATGGATTGGACTCACTCACAGGGCATAGGTGAGGGGTTACTTGAAGGTTACTTGTAGCCCCCAAACAGCTGTATCACCAAAAGATCCCACCTCAGCTGGGGATCAGCCCTCCTGACCTTCCCGGTCACTCACATGGAGCTCAGACAACTGCTTTCATCAACAACAGCCCTCTGTCCTCTGCTCCCATTAAAGAAGTCCACTCCAGGCCCAGCTCAAGATTGCCGTGATGGGCCTCTCTGTACTTAACCAGTAATGCAGATTTGCTTTTGAAGAATGTGTTAATTTTCTAGTGCTAGTTATGACAAAAACCCAAGCTACATAAACTTAAAAGGAGCTAAGGGTTATTTGGGTCATGGTTTCAGGCATTTGTACCTATGACTGATTGGCTCCAGTTTCAAGGAGACTGTGGTGAGGCAGACATCATGGCGGACAATGTGTTGTAGAACAAAGTTACTTACCTCCTGGCATCCAGGAAGTAATGATGAAGAAGAGGAAGAACTATGGTCCTGATGCTTTCTTCAAGGGCGTGGCCCCAGTGGTCTAACTTCCTTCTGCTAGGCTCTACCTCCTGAAGGCTCTACTTACCAGTATCACCCCAGGCTGGTCACCAGGCCTTCAATACACAAGTCTTAATTCAGACCTAAATTACAGAAGGAAACATGATAAAACTTTATACCCATCCATTGTGTCTGTCCTGTCACCTACACAGCTGCCTTTGGAAGTCCTGATGTGTCCTTCAGGGTTGGGGAAAGTGTGGACTGAGGAGTTAGGGTTGCATACACACATGTATGCACACACATATACCACACACACACACTTTTTAAATGGATATTATCTTAGTTTACAAGTTTAAAATGTTATTTCTATATCTTGAAGAAGCTACAACCCAAAGAACTTAAACAAATACTTAGAAATTTCTGTCTAAGACTTGCTAGAACTCTTGTCTCCAATTCCCTCCCACTAGAGACATTAGCTGCCACTGCCATTAGCTGATGACCCTACTTTCAATGGCCTCTCACTGAGGTCTATTTATAAAACACACAAGTTTCCTCAGAAAATAGGTCTCCTAGATGCTAGCTGTCACAAAATCAGTCTTTGTTCAGGTCAAATCCCAACTTGTTTCACCTTTATCACATGTGAGCATCTTCTATTTTGTACATGGCAGATCCTGCTGACAATGGCTGGTCTTGCTTAACAATTCATTCTGTGCTCTGTTCTTTTAACACAGGGTATAGACCCCCAGCAGCCCCCGCAAGACCCAGTCGGGCGTCCCATCATGCATCAGTCTGGCATTAAACATGCCACAGGGGAGGCAGTATTTTGTGATGATATGTCTGTCTTGGCAGAAGAACTCTTCCTGGCTGTGGTAACCAGCAGCAGGCCACATGCTAGAATCATGTAAGCAATGGTGGTGGAGTTGGGAGGCTTGGAATACCAGCAGGTACCTAAGGACATGGTTACCTCTTAGCAATGAATCCTACTCAACACACTTAAAACACAATCTGAACATGTATCTTGAAAACACACGAGGAAAGGGAACAGTGGGCATGGGAGTGCAGAAGAGGAAAACCCTGTTGAATGAGCAACTTTCATCTGAAGAACTTGCCATTGTTATCTGAGAATTTAATGAGGCAAGAACAACTTGCCTGCCTCATGGGAGCCCAAAAACTGTGATTCTCTCTGTCTTTTATGACTGTCTACCTTCAGAGAAGCCCAAGTTTCTCAAAGTGCCAGCCCCTGATCACTGGCCTGGGAAGCAAGCATAGACTCACCCTGGAAGGTAAGGTTAGTCTGTGCCCAGGGAAACAAGTGTCCTCTATCTCCCTCCAACAGTGTTTGTGGTAAGACCTCCACATCTGGACCTGCCTAGTTCATTTGGATCACAGGGAGTTTCTCGGAATCTCCATCTGAGATTTGTAACCCTGCTACACACTATGGTTTTGTTTCCTTTCCAGTTCCATTGATGCCTCCGAGGCCTTGGCATCACCTGGTGTGGTTGATGTGATAACAGCTCAAGATGTCCCAGGTGACAACGGCAGAGAAGAAGAAAGCCTGTATGCACAGGATGAGGTAGTGACGTAGATTGTCACACTGGCGCTTTCCATCCCCTCCTCCAATGACCGCAGACTACCCATCTGTGCTAAGCCTTGTTTTGTACCTGACTTGAGAAAGTGAGAACCAGCTATCTGGCATACTTCTTTTAAGACAAAGACATTGAGGCTTAGATACTTTGCTAACTTACCTGAGGCACATAGCCAGTGGCGGCAGAGGCACTGTTCACACCACCCTGCGCTCGCGCTACAAGTCGCTTCCCCACCATCCCAAGGCCAGCCCTTCTTCCTCCCTGGTTGACAAGACGAAGTCATCTTTCATTCTCTCTTGTGTGTCCTCTGCTCTGCTTCTCCTCAGGTGATTTGTGTGGGTCAGATTATTTGTGCCGTGGCTGCTGATTCTTACGCTCATGCCAAGCAAGCCACAAAAAAAGTGAAGGTTGTCTATCAAGATGTGGAGCCCCTGATTGTGACAGTTCAGGTAACTTCAGCATCTGCTCTCTCTTGGGGCCACCTGGCAGTGGGTTTTTGTAGAAAGTATGAAGGGTACTATTAGATGTTGCTATGCAGTACTTGGAAAATCCCTTACATGAAGCATCTGGCATGCACTCCAGCCATAACACATACACATCACATGTTGTTTTTTGTTTTTTCTTTTTTTCTGGAAGTTTCTTGCTGCCTTCCTCTTTCCTTCAGATACTTGGGGCTACAAAGGGGTCCTCTAGTCCCACCGCAGACCCCTCCTGGCACCACTAGCCCTGAGGACATCTGAAACAAACCCGTCTGGTTTCCCTAAATTCCAAGCTTGACATTTGAATCTTAGAAAGTTCTCCCCTTTGTCTCTTAGGTGGATTTGAGGATAATTAAATTTGGAATTTGTCTCTTAGCATCTGCCCGGGTTGCACCTGCCCAGGCTCTGTGTCATCTTTAAGTCTTCTGTTGCCCTACATGGGACTGGTCCCTTCCCCCTGAGTGTGGAGAAGATCATTTTGTTTCTCTTCACATTTTTCTAGGTTCTAAGGTAAAGTGCAGCAATTCCTTCTTGAGTTTTGTGGCAGGCCCGCTAGAGAAGGAAGCAGCACTATTCCCCAGGAGAGGGTCAGTGATGGGAATGGCTGCATTGCTTAGCAGACCAGACAGCCCACTTCACATTCTCTACTCCTATACTAAGGACAAATGAAGATTTATCCACAGATCCATGCAGTGGGGTCGAATATACTTGAGGTCAAGTGCTAATGAAAAATAGGAATGAGCCATTAACCTTACCACACAGGCTCGTTGCATCAGAATACACCAAGATAAGGAGGGTTGGGTACTGGTGGCGAGGTCAAAAGCAAAATCTGAAGGGAGTAGAGAAGGCACAGGTGGATGCCTTGATAATGTTTCTGAGTATGGCTCAACTTCTAACTTCCGTAAAACAGAGGATTAATAGATTAGCAATGTAAAGAAAGTGCACGTCAGCACAAAGGAAAATGTTCTAGGAACAGAAGATTAGCACCAACTGGAAAAATACCTTCAAGCCATAACATAGGAAACAAGCATAGTCCCTAATTGTGGAAATATTTCCTAGAAATGGAAAAGAAAGGAACAAATAGAAAAACTGAGCAAGTAGATACAAGTAGACAGACCACAAGAAGAAATTAGAAATGGCCAATGTGTGATCCTACTAATAGAAGAAGACTATTAAGAGTGGTAATGAAGCCGGGCGTTGGTGGCGCACACCTTTAATCCCAGCACTCTGGAGGCAGAGGCAGGCAGATCTCTGTGAGTTCGAGGCCAGTCTGGTCTCCAGAGCGAGTGCCAGGATAGGCTCCAAAGCTACACTGAGAAACCCTGTCTCGAAAAGCCAAAAAAAAAAAAAAAAAAGAGTTGTAATGAACTGTCATTTTGTCATTTTCAACAAAAATACCGAAGTTTGACAACACTGAGCTGGTGAACTGTAGGAAAACAGATATTGTCTTTCTGAGATGAATACAAAACACAATAATAATCTCTATGAAGAAACATTTACCAACATCTATGAAAATTCTAAGCAAATATATCCTTTACCAGCAAGCTCAATATGGGATCTTCCCCAGGCTTAGATTGTTTACCTGCAAGAGAATGTGTTCAAACTTATTGTCTGCACCGCTGCTGGCAATAGTAAAACAATGAACACGAGTCCAAGTCTTGTCTGTACAGTGGAACTGTAGTTTAGCAAAGTGCTTGCCTAGCATGCAGGAGGTCTTTTTGAACCAACCAGCATGCACGTGCACACACACACACACACACACACACACACAGAGAGAGAGAGAGAGAGAGAGAGAGAGAGAGAGAGAGAGAGAGAGAGAGAGAGAGAGAGAGAGAGA